GATGTATTTGTCCTGTGGGGGCTTTATGCAAGATGTATATGTCCTGTGGGAGCTTTATACAAGATGTATATGTCCTGTGGGGGCTTTATACAAGATGTATATGTCCTGTGGGGGCTTTATACAAGATGTATATGTCCTTTGAGGGCTTTATGCAAGATGTATTTGTCCTGTGGGGGCTTTATGCAAGATGTATATGTCCTGTGGGAGCTTTATACAAGATTTATATGTCCTGTGGGGGCTTTATACAAGATATATATATATATATACATAACATAAACGTCTTGAATAAAGCCCCTACATGATGTATTCATCCTGGATAAACCTTTTACAGTACATATACCTATTGTATAAAGCATCATGTTGCAATGTTACTTATGTCTTGTCTTAGTGAATAAAATGCTTGCAAAAAAAAAACAACCCATGTCATGATACTTTAATTTAATGATACAGACACTTGTACGGAATAATATTTGATTTGTCTTCTTCAGTTATTGAAAGACATATTTTCATTTTCATGCCAAGAGCATTTACAGCATGTTGCTGTCGCCCCCCGAGTATCAGTACTTCGTTTTCATTTTTTCATAAATCGAAAGTTTACTCCTACTCCATCTGTCGGACATTACTGTAATCATTGGATTATCGCCCCTACAAGTTGCTGATGCTAGTCATTAAATGAAACAACCTTATCGACATTTTCTTCATTACTTGTACATCAAGAAAACGTTTTGTGTTGTGTATTAATGATAATCAGACATCGAAATTTGTAAATACAATGACAAAGACTCACGTTTATGGTGGTAAATTTTGCGAGGCGATGCCAAAATACATTTGTATTACTTTCTTTTCTTTCTTTTTCGAAAATTTACTTCCCGTTTAATAATATTGAAAACTATAAAAATACTGAAATATGTAGTTGAAAAAAAAAATGAAACTAAAATAAGAATGATTTAGAGTAGCATAAAATTTTGACGGAAACAGCCGGGGTGCTCAGTGCTGCTGGACCCTGAAAGAAGACGGCGGCTGAAAGAAGACGGTAATGTGATGTAGGTAAGTATCACTATATATATATATGTAAGCTGAATTTAAAGTCAATACTTATACTGAAGTAGCAATTGCATTTTTTGCAACAATTCATTTGAAATGAGCCATAGCATGTATTGAATTTAGGCTCGACGGCGACGCGGAAGCTGGGCACTGCCGCCATGGCACAGTTTTTTTCAAAATATTTTCAAGACTTTTCCTTTGAGGCAGTATTCATTTGAAAAATGTTATGTAAGCATCTAGCACATTTTTTGTTGCTTCCGTAAAGTATTTCATTATTTTGAAATGGATTTATTTTTGAATGATCGTTTCATAATGGTCTCATCGCAGTCACTTCTGTCAGTGGCCCAACAGATCGGAAATTAAACAGAAAAAAACTTATCCGTAATATTGTACTGTACTACTTACGCTACCGTGAATAGATCTAAGAAAATATCTGTGTAATATATCGATTTTACTTTAAAATATCGGTCACTGTCCGTGCTATTGTAGATCTAACTCTTTCAAATTTCTGATCGGAGATATTTTATAAGTACCCCAAGTCCAGGGTATGAAATCGTACGGGAACTCTACAGCTATGCCAATTGTAAGGTTTACATGTGAAGTTAATATATATAGTTTTAGCTTAAATTTAGTTTTTGTCTTTCTGACATGATGTCTCGTTGATTCTGCTGAAGAGTGATGCATGTGAACGATTGGAATAATGAAGATGTCAATTAACATATGAATCCCGGAAAGTGTTTTAATGAAGATTAGGATAAACCTAGCAAAGTGTAAGGTCCCAGTGTGAATGTGTAAAGTGTAATTAGTACAATTATTATTATGCCTGAACTTTTAATATATGTACTGTCGACTGTTTTTTTAGCGTTTTAGAGTTTTGTTTCCATGGTGAATGGAATGAAATCGGATAAATAGTCTAACCAATACCCCTCGAGAGCTAATTAAGACATTGCAGTATTATCACTTTGGGCCTTATTAAAAGTCAAGTTGAAACTTTAAGAAACTCAAGTGACCGTAGGTACAACAATAAGATGTCAACAATCAATGAAATTGATTAATTGAGAGGACACTTTCTTAGTACAATTAACCAGGCTTTGTAGTGGTTTGTTCAGAACTGTAGTTCTGGTTAAGTAACCATTAATTATGTCCTTTCAGCTAAAATGACATACATTTTTGACATACCTCTACTGTAGCTAGATGTGGCATTTGTAATAGACCGCCAAAGTTAATATTGTGATAGACGTAGCCAAAGTTAATTTTAGGATCAGTTAGGACAGCTACTGTTTGTAACAGGCATGGGTTCAATTACATGATGATGTAATTAATTAAATTACAATTACATTACGAAAATGGCATTGCCATTACATGACGGTCCAATGTAATTAATTAAATTACACATTACTTTTCAAGTCAAAATGATTTTTGAAATACAAACGTCAAAATAAATTATCATACTGCACAGATTTATCACACAAATTTAACTTTATGATTCAATCTCTGTATGACCATGGTCAAGATATTATTATTTTGCTAGCTGTCCATCGCTTAATAATTTGACAGTCCTGAACGTCAAAATAATTAATTACAAGATATTTAATATAGACTCCTATTGGGAAGTTCAAGACTATAAGCTTATACAAAAGTGTATATTCCTTGCACATAATCATAGCAATAAAGAAATATAGTTATTTATTTCCCTTACTCTCTTTCAGCAGGTGGATGTCCCTGAGGAAATGAAATCTGGAATGGTAGAAGGTATCTCTATTGATTCTTCTAACTTGGAATTGGCCATTGTGACCAACAATGGATTTGAGGACCTTATGGTGGAGAAAAACGTCCTTCTTTCCGGCCTCCAATTAGATGTTGAAGATGATTAATCACTTGAGGAGATGCTAACAACCATGTTGCCTTTTAAGGTCACAGTACTCTCTAAAGGCGGCAATATATTTACCATCACAAAAGAAGAATCAACAAATCGCGGAAGCTAAAAAAATGTGGAAAAGATCATTGTATACTGCATTTGTAGTAAATTTGTATACAATCTTCAATTTACTTGAGTAGAAAGATTCACTAGTTATACCAAGTTTGTGTAGAAAGGATCACTGTATACCGAGTTTGTAGTGTACATAGAAAGGTTTACTTTTTTTCTGAGTTAAGTGTATACAATATATATAAAAAAAAAACTTTTTGTAGAAAAGATCACCGCATACTGAGTTTGTTGTTTACAAATGTGTAGAAAAGATCGTTGTATACCGAGTTTATAGTTTACAATTGTCTAGAAAAATCGCTGTCTACTGAACATAATACGACTTCTGTTTAAAACCTAGGCATGTATTTTGTTTTATTTATCTTAAAAGTCTACCTACAACAATTTTGTGTATGCAATTTTGTACTAGGATATTGACCTGACAAGATTACATTGCTGATCAAAGCACGGAGAGAATACTGTACCTAAAAACTGAATAAAACAAGATATAAGCATCTTTATCATGTTTTTATTATTATTATTTTTACATGATGTCTGTCCACATGGAATTTGCAAGCACTCTTGTGCATTCTTATACCACCAAAAGGGTGGGTAAATCGAATCAAGTTGTCTATCTGTCCATCCATCTGTTTGTCTGTCTGTAGACACATCTTGTCTGGACAACTCCAATGAAACTTTACAGTAATATTCGGGACAATGTGTAGATGTGCATGCACCATTTTCCCCCGAAATATTGATTGCCATGGCAACTGGTCAATATAGACAGTTTTTGCATGTCGGTGAACTTCTAAACCTGTGGACCAATTTCAACAAAACTTCGCAGGAATGTTAGGGAACATGTGCACATGCCGCTGTGTTTCAGAGGATGTTTCTGTCCAAAAGGTCACCATGGGGAGATAACTAAGGCTGTGGATGTTGGGGGTATTAGTTATCATTTGGATTAGAGTTTCAGTTATCCCTGGGCAATCTGGAGAGGATATAGTAATGATTTTGAGGATTGAATGTGGAGGTCACAGTACTTGCATAAGTACTCTATGATTACCTTGTAAACGCATTGAGACTAAGACAGTTAGTATACCTTAATCAAATTTGGAACATGTATCCCCTATGAGGAGAAGTCGGTTTCTTTAGAAATTCAGGGTCAGATGTCAAAGATCAAGGTCACGGTCAAAAAACGGATAATTGCATGGGGTGTTTTCCTTTGCATTACCCTCGTTTTTCTATCAAATTTCACAACCTAAAAGATATTCACAACTTGCAAATTTTAAGGTTCAAGGTCACTGTAAGGATGTTTAAAAAATGATAATACTAGAGGAATAAAATATCTTGTTTTAGAGAACAAAGAATATATAAACATGTCAACAGAATTGTAGAACCAGCAAAACAAGTGTAAAATTGAAACAAAGACAATATCTACTTGAAGATTCCCTGAAAAAGTACAAGGAGAATAAGACCAGGTGTTCCGGAAGAATAGGCATCTTCTATTTTAAGTTATGGTGATAAATCATGTTTGTTTTAGAAAATTGGCACTCTTATGCAGTCATTTACAAACAATCTGGAAAATGAAGCTGCCCAATACTTGTATGTAGCATGCTATTTGCATGATGGTCTAACTAATGGTTTTAAACCAATAAGATACGCAGTCTTTAAAGTGATAATATGGTGTCCAAGATCAACATTCCCTACAATGTATCCAAAGAAATTGACAACTTCCCTATCATTGCATCTTGGAGCCTACTTGGGACATGTATTACATAAGTAATACTACTATGCTTGTTATTTCTGATATCTGCTGGTCATTTTGTATGGGCTGCAATGATTTACTGCTTGCATATAGTTGGTTTCAGTATATAGCAAGCTAATAACAAATAATTTATTTTTTAATGGTCTTAGCATACCAGTACTTTCAGTACTTTGATTACAATTTGTTTTCAACCTAAATCTCCAACGCATTTATTTTCAACAGAAAAAAATGGCAGCTGTGTTATCCTCAGACTGGCAAAGCGGTAAAACACTGTCGGAATGTTTTGGTCACGTCTTCGAATCAAGTATCGCAAGTGACGTCACTTTTATTGTAGGCATAGATAAGGAAAGGATCTCGGCCCACAAACTGGTTCTCTTTAGCAGGAGTCCGGTCTTCTACGCCATGTTTGAGGGACCTTTGGCCGAACAAGGCGAAATAACCATCCCCGATATTTCTGAGGAGATATTTCGAATGTTTCTAAGGTATACAAGATGGAAGCAAAACGTTCCGAAACATAGACAGATCCATAATTAATTTGCTGACCTCAAGTGCAAAGCGTCAAATACTTTCCCCGTATTTTACTTTATTAAGCTTTGTACAAAGAGAGCAATGTCGAATTTTTATGTCAAAGCTGCATTGTACAAAAATCAAATTGTTATTCAAATGTATGAGTTCAAACATAAGTATAATTTCCTTTTTCTTTTCTCAGGTATTTGTACACAGACACAATGCATCTTTCAGTGGAAACTGTTGTTCCAATTTTATATGTCGCCAGAAAGTACTGTGTGGACATACTTGTCTCTTGTTGTGAAGAATTTCTGAAGAAAAATTTATCCGTCCAAAATTCTTGTCAATTGCTGGAGCTTGCCCATGTGTTCGTAATGGATGACCTAAAAGCAGAGTGTCTTCAGTTGATTGTTGATTTGCCGACGGTTATATTTCAGTCCCAATCATTTCTTGACCTTGGATCAAATTGTTTGACAATCATCACAGAATCTGATGATTTGTCCGCTGACGAAATTGACGTATACAAGGCGGTCATTAGCTGGGCGAAAGCGGAATGCGAACGGCAGAAACTAGAGGTATATTTAATCAACTTTAACCAAGTAAACGAAATACCTACATTGGCTTTATTTTATCGATATTCGACGATTTAAAGCAAATTCTTAAGTCGCTTAGTGGTATTTAACTCGAGCGTAACAGAAAGATCCTGAAATTGTGCGGAACAGCTGTTATGTTTCCGTTATGTCAGAAATCCATTCCCCTTAATAATCGTACAATAATATGAACATCTCGGGGTGTGAATATTATGTATAAAACAAGGATACAATTTCGGTTCCTCAGTTTCACCAATATTGTTTTTTAACAAGTTCAGGTCACCGAGGTACACATGACGTTTGAGATCGTCAGTAGTAGTAACATAAACGAGAGTAAATGAATAAAAGTGTAATTCTGTTGACATTTTGTCTTTCAAATACATGAACTCTTTTGAGAGTGGAGTCGCAGTTTTTATAGCAACCAATGGCAAATTTAAATTACCTGCATGTTAGTGGGTACAAACACATAACGTTATTATTAAAATACAAAATGTTAAAGCTTTATCAAATGCATATGCTCAAAGCACAGGTAATAAGCGTTAGTAAAATGCAAACCTTCAGTTTACAAGTTGCATTTCTAATCTAATCAACGTTTTTGGTAAGCTGTTTTTAATAACATTTCAACGCAAATGTATTCTGTTGTGTTGATCCTGATTTTAACAGATTCATCAATCATAAAAACAACCATTTAACATTAGTAGTTGATTACATGCTTGTAGGACAGTTATTTTATTAAATGATATTGATTTTTATATTCTTTGATTTCAGTGTTGTACAACGATTGTTTTTTCAATTATTTTATTTTTAGAAAACACCAAGTAACCTCCATCACGTTTTAGGTGCTATCCTTTATAACGTACGGTTTCCTGTGATGGATCACGAATTCTTTCTGAAAGAAGTTTGCTATGACAAAGTACTTCCTGCTGAGGATGTTGTACAAGTCATCAACTATCATCATCACAAAGCAGGACAAGAGGAAATTTCTAATAGCAAATTCAATCACAACAACAGAAAATATTCGAGGCGGGAAATACTTTGGCGTGTAAGTGATGTAAGTCACAAGCCTTGGGTTTCGGGAATGGAGTCAGTGTCTTTTACCGCATCTGACTGTTTACGCCTACATGGATTTGGATCATACTATTCATATGGTGATAATAAAGTCGATGTCGTGATTTATGAAAATGACAAGGTTGTTTATAGAGCTGATAACATTCTTAGAACTGCCACAGATTCAAATGAGTTCGGAGAAGTTTTGTTAGAACGGAATGGGATTCCCATTTTAAAAAATGTCGTGTACACTATTACAGAATGTACTCGTGAAATCAGGAAGTACTTTGGCGGAGCTATTCGGAGACAACCATTACAATTCAAGCAGGCGCGTATTACTTTTTTGAAGTCACAAATTGCTCTATCAAAGGAGTGCAGAGGAGAAAATAGAAGTCAAATACCATATATGATACTGAGCTAAAATGGACAGATATGTTTTATAATTGGTATTCTATGTTTTCCATGATTGAAGTTTAAGTCGAAGTGATGTCTATTTCTGAACATGTGACAGAGTGTAAATCTTCGTAGCAATGTGAGGAACGTGGACATTAATGTGTTTAATGTATATATATGTGTGTGTGGTAATTGTTGGTACTTGTTTGCATATCTTTTCTGATACAGATGTCCCAATAACGTCTGGGATGTTTGTTGGAACAATCAGTAATATATAGCTATTGACCTCACTCTAAGGTCATTATATAAATAAATTATATTATGTGGTGATTGTATTAAATATTGTTACATTGTTTATTGTTTTACTTATGTTTTTGATAATGAAATAAAAATGAATCTACAACAAGAGTGCTTTTTAATGTTGCACTTAATACTTAATAGTAAAATTTATTTGTTTTATAATTTTGAAGATCAATGTAACTATTTAGTATGTATATACTTATCAGATTCATGACTTTGATTGCCAGATGCTGTAATTTTAATTTGTTTCGAAAACAGCTTCAATGATATGTTAGTAATATATTACTATGGAAATGGTATGTTTCAGCGACGTGATAGATGATTGGCTTATGCTGTTATAATGTTGAATACCGATAATTATCACAATTGATAGCCAGTGTTTGTAAATGGTAAAACTAGGGTAGGTTCAATATTCATTGCAACACATCGTGTATCTTATTCTTTCATTTGTGCCTTTTATATTATTCTCTTACATCAGATGAAAGTAATGATACTGTTAGGGTAACATTTATTTTCTAGCTTATTACATACCTGTACATACTGATAAATTTAAATTAGAAAATTGTCAAAATTCCAATTCAAGTTGCTGCATACATTCAATGTTCTTTTCACAACTTTATGCACGATTTGATCTTTTGGTTATATACATTATGTATGCAGCTACAAACTGTAACAAAATAGCTGTAAAATGCAAGTTTAATAATTAATTACAATAAATGTATCATTGCTAATTGGAAGTATCAGTTAGTATGTTTTGGTTGTTGAAAGGTATATAGATATCGGTATGTTTTTTCTCTACATACATATATTTACTTTAACCAAGCATGGATAGTACGTGGAGATGGCTGACATCTAATTGGTGAGAGAAGCTTTCAATCTCTCTCACAGTGGTCAACAACACCAAGTTAATGATTTCAATGATTTAATTGTTTATGAGTTTATTAATTATGCGAGTCCGTGTGGAAGTTAGTAATATATGATAACCTTAAGAGGTTAATAAATGAAACATTAGCAGCAGTTAGACACATGTTTTCTCTCTGTTCTCACATTGTAAATCTATTTTGAGGATAGCAAATAGTCAGTCTGGGGTCCGAGATATTAGATTGAAAGCGACGCTCCAAGTGTGACGATCGAGTGTGGGGGAGAGACTTCGCGAGCGGTAGAGAGAGTGAACATCCTGTTCCTATGAGGGCTGTGTAGCTCAGGGACATAGACATAACGAGATGGACATAATAAAAGTTATACGATCAAACCAGAAAACATAAGCCATGTAATAACCCATGGAGACGGCTTGCTGATTTTAGGATTATGAAAGACTATATTGACGTTTCACAGAGCTACGGTAATAAACATGAAAACAAATGTTGACTCCATAATGTAAACAAACTGCTACTCTGACCTTGACCGCCAGTAAATCTATTGACAGACAAGTGAGGTCAGTATTAATCCTACTGTAAAGTACGTTGTATTTCATGTCCATCCATTCTATTGAGCTGTATTATTGGTTAGTATAATTTGGAGAATTATTGAACTTAAAAACATGAGAAAACAACCAATGTTTTCAGGTGGTGATTTTTTAGGCTGAATCCATGTTATCTTCGCTGTCGAAACCAACGAGCTCGCTCGCCGAGCAAATTAAATATTGCGGTTTTAAATTATAAATACATTAACACTACGAATATTAACGTACCTAGTTTTCAAGAAGGAAGTATAGTATTTTCCTCAAACGAGGAGACGAGGCCGCTGGTACGCAAACGCTGTATGCCATGTGTAGGCCAGCAACGTTGAAACGGTCCACGTGCGTACAGGGTTATGTCCCTTGAGCGAAAGGTATTGTGTTGCTATTCAACTTAAATGTCACGCTCGGTCTTTTTTTATAGATATGTGTGTTGTTTCTTTTGTATCAGTGCATATCTGATGTCAGTGTGCATGATCAGTATGACGTGTGAAAGCCCTCCTGCGCGAGGACATGTGTTGTTATAAGTATATTTATACTTTATCCTTGGTCAATAAAAAAAATACAAAGACGTGAAGCATTAAAAGACTATATTGACGTTTTACCGACGAAAAGAAATAGCAAACCAGTGGCAGTTGTACGTCCATTTTTGGACCAAAAAGCAGCTTCTCTCAGCAACGTCAATAACGTTAGCAAAGGAGAAAAAGATAGAAAGAAGGAATCACAAAGTTGAGTAGTCTATGGTGTCTATTACTAATCTCACAAAATGGCTGAACTGGGAGTGCTTGAAATGGTTAATGCAGTAGGCTCGGTAATGCAGGGTTTATCGGTAAAATTGGATTCTGTAACTTCTACGTTACAACGCTCAAATCAATAGGTTTCAGACGGCATCGATATCTTCAATAAATTTTAACACAATACACGTCATTTGATGGTACTAATGAAAAGAAATATTAGATACAGATAAAGGAAATTCAAAGATATCCTTGTATAAATCCACGATTTCCTAGGGAACAATTGACAACAATAGCAGTGTCAACAAGTAGGGGAGTGGTAGCCTATTTCTTGACTAGTTACATGAACGAACATCCAGGAAGCGCCTGGAATGATATTGAACACAGTTGGTTGCTAGGTTTGGAGAAATATCTGACGAACAACACGCATTTTCGTTGTTACGACAAATTAAGTAAAAGTCTGGGGAAAATATGGAGATGTATGGTGAGAGACTTTTGGAAATGACAAAAGACGTTTACGGTTACATAGGACGTAATGACAGCTGATTGGTTGTATTACTCGAGATTGTCGAGTAAGACCAATACAAGTTAATGAAATGTCGGATGGTAATAAAAATATAAAATGTTGGCATTGTGGTGTTCAACACAAGAGAAAAGACTGTCCAAATTTGGGAAGAAGAAAAAACATGAAAACTAGCATGCTATTTTCGATATCCACAAGGGGAAAAAGATGTAAAACGCGTATAGAAGTATATATCATTAAACCTATAGAGGCGGATGAAAAAACATTATCGACACAAAGAAATATACCTTGAAAGGCGCACTTGTATATTATACAGACTATGAAGACACAATACAGTATGTTGTTCGATATAACAAAACTGCCCTTTTGTTATTGGTTTTCTGGACTACTTTCTAATGATGATGAAAGATAATTTATTATAATTATATCGATATCGTTCACCTTATATAATCGAATACATGTTTTCTTTGTAATGTGCTCTTAATTTAAGGGATGAATGTAGGACTGGTTTGAAGTGTCCATATTGATATCCTTAATGTGCCCCTTGGAAATTTTTTACAGGGGTTACTCGGAAAAACCAGACACACTACTTTCGGTTTAAAAGGACACTGACGTTTGACAGAAGGAAGGTTGTTTAAGGTAAGTTTTGGACGGGTGAAAATGTTATTTAGTTTTCATCTCATTAAACATTAAATTTCCATTAACATACCATTACTCACCGACAGACACAAAATGCAAAAACCGGCAAATAACCCTTAATATTGTTATATATATATGTATGATTTGATATATACACAATATGTAGGTCAACGGGCAGTGATAGCGATCAGAGGACAAATCAACGATCAGAAATTCATATTTACATAAATTCATATACAAATCATGTCAGTGGTGTTTATATGGTTTTGTGGTTCACAATAACAACGGTTATGCTAACTTCAATTGTTTATGTTACTTTGGTTTTATTCGCTATAAACATATGAGGTTCCTTAAGGGAACTTAGGGATGATTAGAGATTACAATCGAGCTGCAAGGATCTTTAGTGATCCATCGAGAATCAAGGGGAATAATGATTTGCATTTTTTGTTCGCCCGTCTTTCCGCTTACTTGTCCGGGGCCTATCCCCTACTCTTTTTTTCGCTGAAACTTCATACTTGAAATGTGGTTCACCTTGACGCGTCTTTCTGTCGATGAGGAACTGTATTTCGTCAACATGTCCTGATACAAGCTAACTTAAAAATATTATTATTGCAATATTGCGAAATATGGAAAGAAGGAATACTGGCTAAAAGGTGTCTTTTCTTTGCGTCAATTGTAAATGATGGTGCCGCTCAGAAAGTAAGAAATGTTTCAATATTATTAATTAATTGTCGCTCAAGCACACGTAAATATTGTGTCATAAACATATATATAACTATTACGTTTTGATGCTTAATTTACTTTAGATAAAATGGCGATCGCTTCATCTACCAGCTGGCAAATCGGCAAAACACTGTCAGAGTGTTTTGATCATGTATTTACGTCAGGTATAATCAGTGACGTCACATTTCTCGTGGGTGAAAACAACACAAAGATTGAAGCCCACAAACTGATCCTAGTTAGCAGGAGCCCTGTATTCTATGCAATGTTGGAGGGACCAATGGCCGAGAAAGGGGAGATAACCATTCCGGATATCTCTGAAGATATCTTCAAGTTATTTTTGAGGTGTTTTATTGTGTATACTTATGTACATTACAAAGTCTGGTAACGAAAATAGATCCAACACCATAACAGATGCCGACAGGTTTCCAGCAGAATATAGTGACGTTATCATTAACTAATTTTATTTAGAAATCGATATATATGGTCAACAAAATGAATGAATTAATAAGTTAATTATGCATGAATGAATGATTTTGTAGAGAATCGATATAGCTCCCGTTTCGGATAGATCGTGGATTGATACTTAAAATGAACAACATAATTAGTATCTCTAGTGTTCTAACATAAAGAATACAAGAATTGTCAGAAGTAACTACAAACATGTTGTAAATTCCAGATTTGCAGTCTAATTTGCAGGTTGTATTTCAACGGAACTACTCATAAAATTAAATAGAGGCTAATGAATCATTTCTTATAAAATTATCAAATTTATGAAAAATCATGAAATTATTGAAAAACGGGGCGAGTTTACCTTCTCATGTAGATTTTGCCTTTCTGTAGATCACTTTGCATTTTCCTCAGACGCCTCTTGAACTTGAACAAAATGTCATTTGCCATTATATCCGAGTCTTCGAATAACAAACAGTTATATAAAGGTGTTTCTGTCACTCTTCTGTATGAAATTCTTGATTTACATTAAAATATATTAAGTTATGTCCCTTTTGAACAATTTTTTTTAAAAGATGTGATTTAAATTAAGTAAAACTGGAATACTAAAACAAGGTTTTCTTTATAATTTTACATAGATATCTGTATACCGATGAGATTGTCTTGACGGAGGAAAACGTTGCAGCTGTATTTAACGTTGCCAGGAAATATTCTGTGGACATCCTTGTTTCTTGTTGTGAAGAGTTCCTGACGAAACACGTAGCTGTTAATAATGCCTGTATGTTTCTTGAGCACGCGCATGTCTTCATGATTGATGACTTAAAAAGCAAATGTCTCGAGTTTATTTCTGCACATCCACTCGTTGCTTTTCGATCTCCGGCCTTCACTGACCTATGTTTAAGCTGTGTTAACAGAATCACCGAGTTGGATGATCTTCGTCTTATAGAAAGCGACATTTATGAAGCCATTGTCAGATGGGCAGAGGCTGAATGCGCAAGGCAGAATGTCGAGGTAATAAAACAATGCTGATTTTATCTCATTACCTAAAGTGTACATACTGCCGCCTCCTTCCTTTGGAATTCAATTCATTGAAATTAATTTTTTATCATTGCTGGTGTTCGAATCGTTGATGTAACAATTACTGAATTGGGATTAAACGGAAACAACAGAACTATCTAGCGTACCTTATAGTATAAATGTTATTTTTAAACAGTTTCATACAATTATAATTTAGCGCAATTTCGATGTTTGACAAACTAGCACAATCATGAATCAACACGTTTACACGAGCTGCAAAACAAGATATTTGAGATAAGTGCATTCATATTATAGCGTAAACATTTCTGTGCGAAATCTCGAAAACAAAATACCGGTAAAAATACGTAAATTTATACGATTAAAACAAACAAGGGAGACAACCGATATAATTATTGATTTTTTTTTCAGGCCACACCTGCACAAAAGAGGGAAGTTCTCGGGGAGATTTTGTATAATGTACGATATCTCCATGTTGACGAAGAGTTTCTTCTCAACAAAATATGTGCCGACAGAATATTGAAGTCAGATGACATAGTTGATGTTATCAACCACAGAAGAAGTAAAACTCCATTGCTATCAAAGAAATTAGATTTGGAGAGGCGATCAGGTACACCTACTTTACATAGAATAAACAGAATAGGAAACGCGATCAATGACCTATGGGATAGTGTACCACGTGATGAAGGTATTTCGTTTAAATCATCCACTGATGTATATCTTCACGGTTTTGGATCATTCAACGCGGAAGTCGAACCAAGTACTGTGGATTTACAGGTGTTTGAAGAAAACGTTAGTCTACTTCAAACAACCAAGACATTGACGGCGTCACAACCTGACACGCCTTACATGGGAGATGTACTGTTTGATCAACCGATCAGGATATCGACTGGGAAAACTTATACAGTAGTGGAACGTGCTCATAAGGGAAAAATTCATTATTTTGAAAATGGACGGAATAATGTAACATATAAACATGTGAGTATTTTGTTCAGCAATACAGGAAAAAGCAGACACACGACTACAGCAACGGGTCAAATACCCTATCTAATTATATCAGTATAATTCCCTAGAAAATCATCGGAGAAGTGAACGTAAAGTTCGACAGTTGTTCGTTCTGCGTTATGCGGGAACAGATTTTTGGGCTGGGAAGGAGGGACTAAAGTAGAGTAGGACAATTATTCTGAATATGGAATAAGAAAAAAATTATAACTGTCTTACTTTCCCTTTCCACAATGAGACATTTGTTTCTATCTGTTTTAGTTTCCTCCTTCGCCTCCTAGGTATCTACACTTTTAACATTACTGGCATTGTATAAATGTATTGTGACATGTCCAAATGGCTAGGAACACAAAAGGAAACTTTAACTGTGAAAGAAAGATGGAGAAAAAGTTACAATTATTATGAACTATTTTGCTACCGGCGATTGAAAATGATCATATTGATTGGTAGTTAGTCATAAATGAAAACTTCTTACTATCGATATTGGTGTCTCACATACTACAGCGTGATCCCGTTGTTGGTAGGGGAAAACTCTACCGTAGTCGTCTTAGACATCTAACCCCACTATGACGATACCCACATGTAGAGCTGTTAGTGTATGGGGAAAACTGCATCATAATGTCGTGATATTTATCGAATAAAATGTGAACGTTAATACTGTGTTTCAAGTCGGTTATTTCTATCAGCAAATAAATGAGAACTTACCACCGATTCTGTGTTTTATTTCTATTATATATATACATATTTATATATAAGTGATAAAAATGTTACCTTTAATTGCACAGTTTTCATGTACATTTGAACCCGTATCACTTTCAATTTGAGTTGGTCAGTTTTTATCGAGAAAAATGAGGTTAGCCACATTGTCATCTGATAATCTTGCACGTTTGTTTGTAAGAGTGTTTTCAGCACAACTAAAAATCCTATCGGACGGTACACTCGTTGCCGGAACACACAAAGTCTGACGAAGTGCGATAAATTCGGGTACACAACGGCCTGGTCTTTCCACCACTGTAATGGGTGGTGTTCTAGTACACTCTATAAAGTTACGATCCATGTTTAGGCGTAATATTTAACAAATAAATCATCGCTGAGAAAGTCTCCAAAACTATCCCGTTTTTCATCAGGTTCTGTACAACTGTCGTCGATATGATTGACAGTGTCAATCAGCTGTACAGAAGGCAGTTCTGGTAGTGTGGGCGTGTCTTCAACTGTCGAGGTCGCAGCTGATTGGTTACCATGGCAATCAGGTTCAGTTTTCGTGAATAACTAAATCCGGAGTCTCGCTGTCAGTGAACCTGTCGTGAAATTGAGGGTCCAGCAAGGCACAAGTGTTGATAAATAGCTGCACAGTCTCAGATAACGACTGTTAAAATATGCCAACGTTTCCAACTTCATTTCAGTAATGGGGGGGGGGGGGGTGTGCAGCTGATATGATATGCAACATTGCTGACACAGCGGATTCCTCTTCAACAAAACGCGACAACAATGTTGGCAGAATTCCACCTATTTTCCATGTCATTCAAAAGTTTATGCTGGGGAATCCTATCTTGTTTTTTAATTTGTGTTTTTCTTAGTTGCTGTGCAGATATATGACTACTTCAGAAATGGCTAAATAACCGCCTAATTTTCGCAACAGGTTTCGAAATATTTGACAGTTTAAGTCCCTTTTTCACGACAAGGTGAAACAATGACCTACACACCCCATATGGGACAAATCGAAATAGGATGAAAACGCACTGATGATATTGACTGCATGGTCAGAAACAGCATAGGGATCACGTAATCCCCATTCCTACTAAACTCTCGCGCGATGTTTTCTTCAGTTTGGCTGTCATGTACACTTCTGGTTAACAATACATTTAAATTTAGTTTTGATCCTTCATCAGTGAAATGAATAGTATGGTTAGGTATGGATCACTACTTGCACCACGTGGCCAAAACTCACCAATCACCTCATGACGGGGAGCTCTCGCTTGACATGGTTTGTTCGTACCACAGTAGTATGTGTTGATCCATAAGCGGTATCCTGCATGGGATGCTAAATGTTGGTTCAATATGGTGCAGCGTTGATTAGAATCCCGCCCTCTCAATAACAGATAATAGCTTGAGGTCACCAACAACAAAGTCCACAATCCCGGTGGTAATGGAAAAAGCCCGTTTACTTCAATAAGAAAACAGTTTCTTTTTTCCAGAACACGTGATGATGTTTGCTGAAAATTTACTCCAGAATTGTCACCAGTAGGCTGTAGAACGGTATAGTATTATCGATTTAAATTTGTCGTATTACCACTGTATTTAAGTACAGTTATACAAACATAGCATTCAGAAGATTTGTTTGTCCGTATATCCTCCGTCAGCATTCTTTTCAAAAACTAAACACTTCCAAACATAGCAAGTATTTCTTGACCAGAAATTGAGTAAATCACAGCAGCATTATGAGTCTGCATCATTGACAAGTGAACCGTTACAATATAAATAGAAGTTCAATTAACCGATGCGCCCCTTTAGACAAAAATGGTATGATCCATTCCCACAGCAGAATCAACAAATGTGTTAACATGTGTCAAAAAATGGATTAGTCTAATCTGATAGGGTGTAACGATTTCATTCGGAAATCCAGTGACACATGACACGCGTTTTGTTACATTGTTTCAAAAACTGACTCATTGCCTATCATTGTTTCGCTTTGTTTACCAATTTGAATGAAATGCTGTAAACAACAACTTTTTGTGCTTTACTTGTCTGGAAATCAATTATGTTTCCACCTGAAAACTGTTGCCTCTTACTTTTTGCCAGCGGCGATGTCGTCATCCCGCTTTTCTGATCACGATACATCGCGATGACGATATAAGATAACAGCTTTATTCACATGTCTGAGTCGTGAGATGACATGTACATTTTGAACCCGAAGACTAATGGCTGTTCAAAGAATATATCAACTTTCCTGATTTCCAAAATCCTCCCCTCAATATCTAGAAGCGAAAGAACCAAATACTCCTGTTAGCTGATGGTAACGTAATTCACACAAATTGTGAACTTAATTATCCTCAGGTCCCACATTTTTCCGCAGCACGGGGGTTGATTTTACAAGGTTTGTTTAGAAAGCCTTGTTTTTGAGCACACTTTCTGTTTGAAAAATCATTCAGACTTGGTTAGAACAATTAGTTTTATATGGAAGATATATATCACATACAAGTACTTGCAGGGGTTAGTGGGCGGGAACGTACAATATTGTTCAAATTTATAGAAACATTTCATAACTACTAAGGTCCATGGACCTCAAGTTTAACCATGTGAAAAAATAATCAAGAAGGCATCATGCTGACCAGAAAATACTACGTCTATGTTCATTGTCTCATTACTTGTGATTATCAAATGCTTATCTTATGTTATCTGTTTTATTTGTGGCAGTTATTAGACATATGTGTAAAGCTGAATAAAATGTTACTTCTGACTAATAAGTCAGTGGGTATGTATATTTTGAAGTCTCTTTTTAAAAGCAATTGGTCCTCATCGAACCAAGAAAAAAACCCACTATAATACAGTGAAACCAATAATGGCTATATATATCATATAGATAAGTAATTACTAAAGTACATTTATGAAAACTACATGCAAATCAAAAAAGAAAAATATTGAAGCTCGACAGCATCTTCATCTAGTTTAGTGGTAAGATCGCCCAACATACATGTTTTTGTTTTATACGAGGCTTAATTTATCGATGCGTTCAGGTTACAGAGATCTTTCAGATATATCTATTACATATCATTTCAATAACCAGATATCTACTGAAGAATGTATACCAAAGTTCAAAAGAAAACACAATATAAACACTTTGGATTAATGAAGATTGTGATAGAGCTATTAGAAGTAGGAAAACCGCTTTGATGCAATTCAAATCAACCCAACAAGAGATCTTGGAGATCTGATGTGTCCAAATTAAATTCCAATACATCCACCAAAAAGGAAAGGGATATGATTAAACGAATCAACGGTAAAACAACATTCAAAACAATGGGACATCTGACAACAAATGGAAAATAAGCCACATCGAAATTTGATATTGCAAACGCTTTAGGATCTGCCTATTCCAAAATTCGTCTGTAAATAATCATTTAAAAAAAATCAAATGTTTAAGACCACGCGTGAATAAACGAAATTGAAATTCTCTTCCAAAAACTATGCAGATTGCAATCAACCTTCCGCAATGTTGATACAAATAGCATGACTCTACAACAGGACCTGATAATATTCACTATTACTTCCTAAAACATCAATCAGAGGCATCATTAGAAAAACGTCTTGATATTTTTTATTATCATTTTAGATCGGGTAATATTCAAAGGTAATGGGGAAAAGGCAACTGTGATTCATATCCCAAAACAGGGTAAAGACACGACATATCCCTCCAGTAACCGCCCAATATCAATATCACCCACGAGTTGCGTTTGTAAAAATCTAGAGCGGATGATAAATTCAAGATTAATTTGGTATCTGGAATCTAATCACATAATATCATTCCTACAGAGCGGTTTTAGATCTAAGCCAAGTACAAAATATTTTTGGGTAGGCTTGAAACCTTTGTGCATGAGGCTTTTCTAAAGAAGGAGCACTTGGTTCCTGTTTTCTTCAATTTGGAAAAGGCTTACAACACAATGTGGAAATACGGCATAATGAAAGATCTGCACGATATAGGTATTAAAGTTAATCTACCAAATTTTATTTCAAATTTTCTATCAGACAGAGTATTTCAAGGACGGAATGGAACGACCCTTTCCGATGTTCATCAGCAGGAAATGGGTGTACTACAAGGCAGCATTCCTTCATTTACACTTTTTGAACTTGAAATTTACAGTTTTGCCAAAACATTATCCCCTTCAAAGGAGGGCGTTCTTTATGCCGATGACTTCATCATATGCTATCGATCTAAGCATATGAATACCATCGAAAGACAACAACAACAATGTTTGAATCGGCTACAAATTTTGGCAGATGAAAATTGAAACATTGGTAATGTGACGACGGTAGACTCGGATAGGAATGCCTTTAAGGACCTGTTGGACTTAAGAAGTAGAAATGCAAGGAACTTTTATCTTACAATTTATATTATGCATAGTATGTTATAGAACGTTCCGTAATGATAAGTCTGGACACGGTGGAGACCTTATGTGTTTTGTTCACTCAAATTTGCCATGTAGACAGTGATCAGATCAGGTGGAGTTCATAGTGCTTGAGGTGATAGTAAATGACAGAATGATGTCACTAGTAGGACCGCATAATCCTTCATTTAATCCTAGGAACTCCGTCTATGAAAATCTGATTATCGGTTTAGATAGGATCAGTACTCAGTACGACCATGTTATGATGATAGAAGATACGAACATAAATATGCTTACATAAATATGTTAAAGGATGAACGCAATCTTTTTGTATGGATAATCTTATTTATATTCTTCATATTTTATAAAGAACTGCAACCTTCTCTAGTTGATGTAATTCTAACAAGCAGCCAGCATATTTTATTCAACAAAATGTCTTTTAACTGTCGACTCAATGATTAGTATAATCTGATTACATCTTATATTAAAGGATATTTAACACGTGTACTTAAAGGTAAGAGAAATTTTAAAAGCTTTAA